CATCCATCCATCCATCCATCCACTCATCTGTTCATCAATCTACTCATCCATCCATACACTTATCCATCTGTCTATGCATCTACTCATTCTTCCATCCCTCCATCCTTCCATCCAATCATTCATCCATCCATCCAACTACCTATCATTCATCTACTTATCCACTCATCCATCCATCTATTGATCCACTTATCCTTTCATTCAACTACCATCTATCCACCCAACTACCTATCCAATCATTCATCCATCCATCCACTAATCTACCCATCCACTCATCTATCCATCCACTCATCTATCCATCCACTCATCTCTTCATCCATCCACTAATCTATCCATCCATCTATCCATCCACTCATCCATCCATCCACACATCCATCCATCCATCCATCCATCCTTTCGTTGAACTGACATTTATCGAGCATCTACTATGTGTCAGGCAGGCACCATTTTAGGTACTAGGCGCTAAATAAAACGATGTCCGTGCTCTCAATCCTCATACATTCTAACTGGGGAGTCAGACCATACACTAGTGTGCAATGCAATTTCAGGCGACGATAGCGTCATGAAGAAAATAAAGCTTGGTGAGGGGATTGCGAATGATGGGCGGGTAGGCTGCTTTAGCAGGGTGGCAGGGAGGTGACGTTTGTCTGGTGAGGTGACATTTCAGCGGAGATCTGCATAAGCTGAATGCATTGGTGACATGAGGTGGGGCTTGCGGGACTTCTACACGGGCCAGCTCCTCTCCCCTCTGTCACACGTTGAGCCATTCACCCAGCAAGGCGAGTGGCCCTACTCGGTGCCAGGCCCCATTGGAGGCGGGGGGCGAGGGGGACAGCGTCATGCTGAGCGGCAGAAGCTCCTCAGAGCCCAGCACTAGTGACTCGTGCCCAGCTGTGTCTGCTCTTGCTCCTGGGCTCCTGGGCGGGACCTAAGCAGGTGGTTGGGGACATAGTCACAGGTGAAACGTGCCTCGTTCTGCAGCTAGTTAAGTGGTCACAGTGACACCAGGAGCAGGGCGACGTCCAGGGAGCCTACAGGTGCTCCTGGCCCCGTGCAGGGGACCTGCCCCGTGGCGGCTGCTGCTTGGCGCTGGGAAGCGAGTGGGAGCCGGGACCAATCAGAGCATCCGCGTCTGGGCAGCATGATAGAAATTGCTGGAATCAGCCCCTGGGTGGAGTCCAGCTCCTCCCTGAGGAACCAGCCATGCGACCCTGCCTGGCCCCGCGCCTTCCTCATGCGACCCTGCCTGGCCCCGCGCCTTCCTCTGCGAGGCGGGGCGGGGCGGCAGTGGACCTCCGGGTGGGATCCATGGGAAGTGCCCTCGGTGGGGCCTCTGTGTGCAGGGTCAGTCTCGGAGTGGCCGAGCTCTGGGGTCTTCCCCTCAGTAAGGGGAGGTGACCTGGTGGCCACCGACAGGTCTGTCTGTGCCCAGGTCGTGAAGGAGCTGCTGTCCCAGGGGGCTGACCCCAATCTGCCCCTAACCAAAGGCTTGGGCAGCGCCCTGTGTGTGGCCTGCGACCTCAACTATGAGCACCGGAGGAGCACGGACAGCAAGCTGGCCCTGGTGAGGGGGAGGGGTCGGGGGAGGGGAAGGCTGGCCCTGGTGAGGGGGAGGGGGAGGGGAGGGCTGGACCTGGGGGTGTCAGGGATGCGCCCTCCCTCAGCGGACCCCTTTGTCCTCGTTCCTGGCGGGTGGTGGATCATTTGCTCTGCGCTCTCCAAGCCTTGGTGGTCTAAATGGTTGAGAAAGAACAAAATATCGTACATTTCTCAGAAAACGTGAAGTAGCAGAATCACTCAGCAGGCCGAACGAGGTCCCCGGAGCGTGTCCCGGTGCAAACGGTCTGGGGCAGCCGTGCAGGTCTGGCTTTCTGATGTCGCCAGTCAAGAAACCCGGCACGTGCGGCTGGGAGGGATTTGGGGCCCTGTCCCCTGGCTGTGGGGAGCGGCCCTCGTGAGGTGCCAGCCCAACGCCCAGGAGCCCCCACCTGAGCCGGGCCCAGGGCTCTGCGGTGCTGTCACCGCGGTCCTGCCTGTGTCCGCTGTGTGCTCAACCTATTTTCCTTCCTCAGGGCCTCAGGCTGTCTGAGCGGCGGCATCAGGGGGTGTCTGCCGCGCGTTTCTGGCGGCCGTGGTCTGCCCCAGCAGGAGCCTTCGTTGTCCGCAGTGCCGCGAGTATAGATCACGGTGCTTATGCACTCTTCTGTTTCTAAGTTTTTTGCCAAAATGAGGTCATGCCATACATGCCTTTTTAAAACAATTACGGTAACACACACATAACGTGAATGTCACCGTCTGCACCTCCGTGGGCGCGCTGGCCGGCGTGACGTCTGTTCACGCTGTTGCGCGGCCATCAGGCCATCCATCTCTGACTTTTGCATCTTGCAAACTGCCCTCTGTCCCCATTACAATAACCCCGGCCCTTCCCCCGGCCGGCGCCCACAACCGCGCTTCTGCCTCGGTGACTCTGACTCCTCGGGGCCTCACGGGATGACGTCGGACAGCATTTGTCCTTCTGTGACTGGCTCGTGTCACGCAGCACAGTGTCTGCAAGCGCCGTCCATGTGGCACAACAGCAGGGGACAGATTCCCTTTCTTTCTGAGGCCGAGCGACGTTCTGTGGTGTGGACGGACCACAGTTTGCTTGTCCGTTCGTCCGTGGACGGGCACTGCGCTGCTTCCACGTTGTAGCTGTCGTGAACCACGCCGCTGTGGCCATGCGCACACAGACGTCCCTCCGAGACCCTGCTTCAGTTCTTTGGGGTGGGCACCCGGGGTGGGATTTCTGTGTCAAGTGGCGATTCTACGTTTAAGGTTCTAAGGGACCGGCATGCGGTTTCCATTGCAGCTGCTCCATGTTACGCTCCACCAGCAAGGGTGGGCTCCGCGTTCCACACTCCGCGTCAGCACTTGTCGTCTTCCTGTCCTCGATCTTAGCCACCCGACGGGTGTGAAGCGGCATCTCGCTGCGGTTTTCATTTGCATCTCCCTGATGACGAGTGACGCAGAGGGCCCTTCCCTGCGCCTACAGGCCATCTGCATGTCATCTCTGGGGAAATGTCTACTCAGATCCTTTGCCCGTTTTTGAATCGTGTTGTTTTTTGTTGTTGTTTTTAGGAATTCTCTGTCTATTCTGAATGTTAATCCCTGATCAGGTATTTTCTCCCGTTCTGTGGGTTTTGCTGTGTTAATGATGCTTTTCAATGCACCAAGGGTTTTAGTTTTCATGAAGCCAAATTTGTCTACTTTTTGTTTTGTTGCCGGTGCCTTTAGCATCCTATCCAAGAGTTCATTGCCGTATCCGATGTCACAGAGCTTCCTCCTGTGTCTTCTAAGAATTTTCCGGTGTTAGCCAGGAACTTTGGCAGATGCTTTTCAGTATTTGCTTCAGCGACACTGCCGGGGCGCGGGCTCAGCTATCTGCGCAGGGATCTCAGCGCCTGGGCGGGGAGATTCCAGACAGTTTCCAAGTCTGATTCCTGAGTGTGTGTGTGGGGGGTGGGCACTTTCCCTCTTGTCTCTCCTCTTCTTGCTTTCGGCCTGGCCACCCGCAGGGTGAGCCGCCAACAGGCCACGGCTTGGACACAGGCGTGTGCCGGACGCCCGGGCCGCCCGCTCCTCAGCGCACCGCCCTCTCCACGTTTCGCTGTTCAGGCTGCCGCAGAGCCTCGTCGTTTCGGTGTGTTAATTGAAAACAAACAAACAAAAAAACAGGTGTATAACTGGGAAAAAGAGAGCTTTATTTCTCATAAAGTTTCAGCCCAGGATGGCCACGCCGGCAGGCTGGGAAACGGCTTCCGGCCCAGGAACTCGTACTTCGAGGGGGAGACAAAGGAAACAGGATTTTATACTGATCGGGGTGGCCAAATGCACATATTTAACAAGCTGTAGGAGGAGTCACGAGTATCCGTGAAAAGAGAACTGTGCCCCGTGCAATGGCGCTTCCTGGCCTTTTATGGGGTCCGTGTCCCCTCCGTGTCAGAAAGTGAGAAAGGGCACGAAAGCCCTCCACACACGTTCCACAGAGTGTTAACGTGACTTCGTGGTCGTGGTGTTTTATCAGGACAGGACGCAGGTGTGGCCCTTAGGAGACAGCCCGGTGGCATTAGCAGGGAGGGGCATAGCGACGCATGTCTGACTTCCTATCACATCACGACGGGGCGCAGTTTTAAGCTTTCTCTGGGGCACCCTTGGCCGAGAGGGGTCTGTTCAGCCAGTGGGGGGCTAAGATTTCATTTTTAGTTCACGGACTCCACTTTTGGCCGAGATATGCCAGAGTCAACGTCGATGGCCAGACTGGATTTTGTCCCGTTGTTGCGAGGGTGGGGTGGCCATTTGTCCCCAGGTCCATCTGGGCCCTCGGGGGTCCCCACTGGCCTGGAGGAGGGGCTTAGGGTTGCAAAGCCTTACAGCCAACTAAGCGTCTTGGGCCAGACAGGACGGGTGGGCAGACACTCATTAACCCCTAAAAATCTTTAAAGCAATATGGTTGAAGACCAAACCAAAAACAGTGATAAAATTAACTTATCCATAGGCATCGAGCGACCGTAGTCTTGGTCTTCGTTACAGCAGGGCAGGGACGGGGGACACCAGCCAGGCCGGTGGGGCCCAGACGAGCTCCTCCGCCAGCTGCACTGTCAGGATGTCAGGAGTAAAGTGAGAGACAAACAACATTCACAATTTGACAGTTAAAGGAGAATTTGGGTGTTAGAACGAAACAAAGGAAGGAAACTATCCCATTAGGGAACCAAATAAAAACATCAGGAAGAAAATTATAACTTTTTTTTTTGTCGTCAAGAAACAACCCACGATTCAATTAAAACTTTGGACAAGTAATTAAAAAGCTCAGTAAGACTAGGAGTTTAAATAATGAGTCTTTTGACACAATTTTCTCTGATTTCCCATTTTTACTAAAGGCAAGTCACGGCAGGACCAATTCATTTGCAAAATAAATTCCAGTCTCCTGACACTTGGCTTGCTTATTTGCATAAAGCGAGATAAGAACAATCCTTGGCCGTAGGCTTTACTTTTTTTTTAATTGGCTTTGCTGGAATTTTTTTTCCCATAAGGAATCTCAGGTGAGACTTAAAGCCCCTGGAGCCAGACGAAGGGTTTCACTGCGGTAGATTCCTGTGTGAATCGGGTCGGTCCCTCTCACTCAAGGTCTCGAGGAAACCCGGGGCTCCCAGACCTGTCAGCAGGTGACATTTTTTCTTCCGCAGATCAGGAAATGTTACAGATGAGGTATCAGGACGGTATTTTTCCAGAGGGTTTTGTGGGCCTTATAAACTTAACCCAATTCCTCACGGCAGTCTGGGCGTACCTGAAAACACGACATTGTGGCCAACCAGCGTCTCTAATTCTGTCCTGTTACAGAAGGAAACAGATCCTTATTGAACTTGCGCAAATAACTATGTTGCCATAAAATAAGACTACTCACAAATAGTTTCCAGATTCTGGAGAAATCAGGCCGAGAGAAAAATAGATGTTTCAAACTATTTACAAAATATACCTACCTAGTTTGTTGTAAGCTACAAATAGCTCAAAAGAGGAAAAAAGAGTTTTGGCTTCTGGAAAACAAAATATAAAGAGAATCAGTAATGTTTAAACAAAAGTGATTAGAAGAATTAGTTTAGTTCCGTCTGGTTAATTTTGGTTTTGCATGAGGCTGGGTTGGCAACCTTCATGAATGCATCTGCTTTAAAGCCGTGGAAGTTTTTCTTTTTGGTTTTGTTTTTAGTTTGGACGGTGAGGTCTCCAGAGTGATCGCTGCTCAGGTTTGAGGGGCCCCTGCCAGGGTCCTTTCTATACCTTTCCTTGAAGAAGCGAACTACAGTCAGTTACAAACCACCTTTTGAGAAGAATAAAAGTGAAAAATAATTGTCCGTTGATGACAAAAGTCTTAGAATTGTTATGGTTAAAGAGACAATTGACAAAGAAATTTGGTTAAGTTTTTGGGCACATAACAATTTAACATATGACTGTAATTATTATTGATAACATACGTCAAAGCATATCGGAATTCTAGGAATCTCATACAATTTTGGAACACATATTAATAACATGTTTCTAGAAATATAACCTAGGAAAGTTAAATACCACTTCATATTTGACAATGCTTCCTGTGTAGTTTTTTTTTTTTTTTGAGACAGAGTCTCACTCTGTTGCCCTGGCTAGAGTGAGTGCCGTGGCGTCAGCCTGGCTCACAGCAACCTCAAACTCCTGGGCTCAAGCGATCCTCCTGCCTCAGCCTCCTGAGTAGCTGGGACTACAGGCATGCGCCACCATGCCTGGCTAATTTTTTCTATATATTTTTGGTTGTCCGATTAATTTCTTTCTATTTTTAGTAGAGACGGGGTCTCGCTCTTGCTCAGGCTGGTCCTGTGTAGTTTTAACATACCAAATAAGCCAAATGTTTCTCTCTTGGACTTTTCAGTGGTTCTAAATATTTTTTTAAAAAACTAGTTTGAGGTCAGAAAGACTGAATTTAGAATTTTGATTTTGGAAAGTCTGTCAAATATCAACGGTCTAAAACACTTGCTGTCATAAAACAGGATTACTATTATTATTATTATAAAATAATATTTAGCCAAAGTGATAATTTAAAGATTTTAAGGGCGAAAATTTTATTCTTTAATAGTGAGGAGGCTGAGTATGGTCACTCACACCTATAATCCGAGACTGAAGCGGCAGAATCACTTGAGCTCAGGAGTTCAAGAACAGCCTGAGCAAGAGTGAGATCCTGTCTCTACAAAAGAAAAAGAAAAGAAAAATTAACCAGGTGTGGTGGCGAGAGCCTGTAGTCCCAGCTACTCGGGAGGCTGAGGCAGGAGGATCGCTTGAGCCCAGGAGTTTGAGGTTGCTGTGAGTTAGGCTGATGCCACGGCACTCACTCTAGCCCGGCAACAGAGCAAGGTTCTGTCTCTAAAATAAATAAATAAATAATAAAATAAAATGAAATAATGGAGAGGAGGTTTAGTTTCCCAGACGGTAACATCTACAAGACAAACTGGAAAAGAAAGCTGATAAAGAGGCAAACTGAATCTGTCTCATTCTCCTCTTTTTTTCAGTTTATTCAAAAGGGTGAATAAAAATTTTTACTGTGTTTATTAATATTACTTGAAAATTTTGTTTAAAAGAGAAAATCAATTTTTATTTTTATTTTATTAGTGTACTGTGTTAAAGCTAATTTTAATAAAACTTTATGGATAGATCTATTTAATCTTAATTAATCTGACTATACGGTAAGATTTCTATTATCCTTTTGAAAATTTTGTCGTTCTCCCCAGCTTTTATATCCACTTAGTTGTATCTATTATTTATTTATTTAATTTAAGAAAACTTTTAAAACCTTTAAATTAGGCAAAATTATTTTCTATTTAACAAATACCATATTTATATATCTTCTCATAACCCTTTTTTGGGACCAGAAAACACATGCAATTTTTTAAACATATTTTGTATATAGAATTTTGTATATAGAATTATTTCTGTTATATCGAGTAGTTTTCGTTACATATATTAATTACAGCGCTAACTCTTAGTAACCCTTATTTCTGATGAAAAACCTAGGAGGTTAAAGTAACTTTGAACTATTATCAGTCCCCAGGTTTTTTTTAAATTCTTAATCTTTTTTAAAAATTTCAGAATATTACAGGGGTACATTTTGGTTACAGAAATTGCATTTGTGCAATTTGAGTCAAAGGCCCCAGTTTTTATTAGCGCATCTAAATAGTCCAGTGGAGCTGTCCTGGGGCCGGCTGAGCAGGGCCTGGGCGCCCCATCTGGCCGAGGCAGGACTGCAGGGCGGGGAGGAGGGGGGCTGGTGCGTCCCCTTCCCTGCACTGGGCAGGGGAGGGTCGAGCCATCGTCCACCTGCCTGTCCACCAACTGCGCACGGGCCCTGCCTGCACCAGCCCGTGCCGTCTGCCCACCTTCCTCTGGAGGCGGGTATTAGAGGTGTCCAGCAGGGAGCTCACTCGTCAAAGTGGTGTTCCGGCAAGTTGTCATAGCGTCAGCACAGAGCAGAGGGGAGGAGAGGAGAGCAGAGGGGAGGAGAGGAGAGCAGAGGGGAGGGGTGGAGAGGGGAGGGAAGGAGAGAGGAGGAGAGGGAAGGAGAGGAGAGGGGAGGGGAGGGGAGGAGAGGAGAGGGGAGGAGAGGAGAGGAGGTGGGCTCTCGCGTTGGATCAGGGCAGCTCCTTCCCAAAGGACGACAGAAAACTGTCTCCTCCTCTGCCTGCCGGACTCCTGGCGTGGCCTCGCCCGGGCCTTGCCGAGTCCTGCACACGCTCCACCCACACCTGCGCACCGGCGAGGTGCCTGCTCAGGCCAGACTGGCTGCCGGTGCTGGTGGCGTTTGCCACTCCCCAGGTCCTGGTGCCAGGCCTGTGACGCCGCACTCACGGCGCCGCAGGGGATCCAGCTGCTGCACTCGCGTAGGAGGAACGCTCAGCACAGGTGCGGAGAGTGAGAGGCTCCCCCGGGAGTCGCGTGCACCCCCAGCAATGGCCCTGCTTGTGCTTAGCAAGTAAACCACACACCGTGTGCTGAGCGCCCTGCAAGGACAGCCTGGAGCATCCACTTAGCCTGTTGGCCCCACGGTGGCACTCGCTGCCACCCTGGCCAGCCGGGGGCCTCTGTCAGGTGCCATTTGCGTGGACAGAATTGGGTGTCTCGAGCCAGAGACTGGCGATGTGGCATGTTTACCACAAGTCATGTGCACACGTATGTATCTGCAGGCATGCAGCACACGCACGCCCACCCACAGACGCGTGTGCACAGACCCAGACGTGCACACTCACTGGACCCACACACATGCACACATCCACGCGTACACACGCGTGCACACCCACACATTCGCTGTCTCACTGAGCACCCTGCGGGCATGTTGGGGTGTGACGAAGAACAAGACCCGTCACGTCACTACGTCTGGGGAGTGGCGTATCAGACCGCAGCAGACTCGGCGCAAGGCGCGAGTCCAGTGTGCTGCGGGTGGGTGTTGGGGGGTGGGGCTCCCTGAGGGTTGGCCCGGCCTGGGCTCACGGTGACACTGTGTGACGAGGCTCCGCCTGTGGGCCCGGCCCTGTCTGCCCACGTGTCTTGCCAACTCTGCCGCACCTGCAAGGGTGGCCGCTATGGGGATGCAGGTGACCACGGCCCCTCTGGGCAGCGCCTGCCCTCGTGTGGGCAGCGCCCTTGGGCTGGCGTCTGGCCGGAGTGTGCACAGGGCCTGGGGCCGGCAGGCTCGTGAGCAGGGTCACTGCATGGGGCGGCGTGGACACAGCCCGGCACTGCTGGGTTCTGTTCTCCGCAGATTGACCGACTCATCAGTCACGGGGCTGACATCCTGAAGCCCGTGATCCTCACGCAGGGGGACAAGGTGGCCGTGGGCACGGCCGTCGACTACGGCTATTTCAGTTTCTTCCAGGTAGGGCTCTGGGTCCCCCTGGCAAGGGAGGTGACGCAGACACCACGAGTAGGGCCCTGGCTGGGCTTGGCCTCCCTGGGCACAGCTGGGCTGGGGGTCCTCGATGCTGTCCCCAAAGCCAGCCCGACGCGGGAGGAGAGAACCTGCCTGCAGGGCTGAGTCGCGCCGGGCACAGCTGTGTGTTTGTCCTCCCGGTGACGCCTCACCGAGAAGGGAGGGGCCCTCGCCCCCGGTCACTGGCAGTGATGGGGCGGCCCCGGTCCCCGGTGGTGACCCCCACGCTGTGCCGCAGGACCGGAAGATCGCCCACTGCCCCTTCCACGCGCTGATGCCGGCGGAGCGAGAGATGCTCCTGGCCCGGAAGAGGCTGCTGGAGTACCTGGGCTCCCACCTGCGCCGCGCCGTCTTCGCCAAGGAGAGCCAGTGGGACGCGACGCTGCTGTACCTGAGCAAGAAAGGTGGGCAGCGGCGCGGGGCCTTGCCCTGCTATGTGACGCCGCGCATGACGCTGTGCAGTGCACGGCGGGTTCCAGCCTCCGCCTGGGGCTGTGCAGGGGCCAGGCAGGGAGGGGCACGGGGGGGCCTGTCCTACCGCTGGGCTGCCCTCCCGGGCCCTTTGTGTCCTGCCTTCCAAGGGGGTCCTGCGGGAGAGATTACGGAGGGGTCTGGGCTGGGGGTGCCTAGGAGGGGAGCCGGTGGCCCAGACCAGAGGGGCCCCGTGCCCAGGAGAGGCCCCAGGCCCTGCTGCTGCTGCCGGAGCATCAGCCGGGGCACCACGTTCGCCCAGCACGCCTCCCCCCATGTTCACTCGCCCCTACGTGGACCCTTCCCCTACTCACCCCTACAGGTCAACCACTGACCCTACACACACTGACACCCACGCGCACCCTCCCCCGCATGAGAACCCAACCAACGTGTTAACACGTGTGCACACGCGAGCACCCCCCAAGTCCTCACACGTGCACCAGCCCACACTTAGGCCCCCCGTGCCTGCCCGCCACCACCCCCTCCCACTCAGCCCACTGCCGTCCGCTGCTTGGCCACCCTCACGAAACACCACGGACTGGAATTCACGAAGGCGGGGGTTCATTTCTCACGGCTCTGGCGCCCGAGGTCCAGGCGCAGCGGGCGGAGTCTGGGGAGGGGCTCTCTGCCGCCAGGACGGCAGCGGCGTCCTCCGCCCTTGTGCGAGGCACCAGCCGTCACCCCTTTAGACAGGCCCGGCTCTTACTGCGGTCATGCTGGGGACCCAGCGTCAGCATGAGCTTCTGAGGGGACGCCAGCGTTCAAACCACGGCACCCCCACCCCCTCCCAGCCACCCACCCGCTCTCCCCTCCACACAGCCCCCCACACGCAGCGCACACCCACAGAGCCCCGCGTGTAGGAGCTTAGGCCATAAAACGGCCCGAAGAAGATGCAGGCGCAAATATTCGTGACCTGGGTTTGGAAACGGATTCCTAGAGAGGACACCAAACGCATGAACAGCGAAAGAAAAATAGATTAAGTAGATGTCACCTACATTAGGAACTTTTGTGCTTCAAAGGACACTGTCAAGAAAGTGCACAGACAGCCCACAGAGCGGGAGGAAACTGCTGCGAATCGCGCACGGCGTGCGGGGCTGCCGTGTGGAACACATGAAGGACCCTCACGCCTCAGTGACAGAGAAATAGCCAAACTTGGAAATGGACGAAAACGTGAACAGAATTGTGTCCGAAGACGACACGCAGCTGCCCAGCAAGCACCTGCCGGGGTGTTCGGCGTCACCCGTCGGCGGGGACGTGCAGTCGGCCCACCCGAGACGCCACCTTGGCCTGCCGGGCTGTGATCGGGAGGTGACGCGTGACAAGTGTGCTGAGGACACGGAGGGACCGGTGTCCTTGCGTGTTGCTGGTGCACATGTGAAACGGCGCAGCGTTTTGTAAGCCGGGCTGTTGGTTCCTCAAAACGGTAGACGAAGAGTCATCACGTGACAGCCACCCACGGGGGCAAAGCTGCGTCCACACGGAGCTCGCACAGAAGCGTTTACGGCAGCGTGTGGCGTGACGGCCGGCAGTTGGCAACGGCGATGTCGTCGATGGGTGGACGGGTGGAGAATCCACGCAGTGGACCGTGGCCCCTAAAAAGAGTCCACACTCAGCAGACGCGCACAGAAACCCCCTCGTCCTTCTCGCACGCCTCCGTTTTAAAGAAGCGCTTGGTGATGGCCGAGCGCGGTCACAGTCCTCCCTTAGGTCCTGCTTTGGTGTCCCTGTCCCCGCAGCGTTCCCTGCTGCTCTGGCGGCTGCACAGTCACGGGGGGACTCCCGGGCCACGTCCCGCTGCCACGGCAGTGGGGGGCAGCCTGGGTGTGGTGGGCAGGCGGGGGGGATGGCAGGGAAGTGAGGGCAGGTGGCCTTTCTGGTGGGGACTGACGTGGCGATTGAGGGGAGGCACACGGAGGGCCGCGGGGGACTTTGGGCAGTCATCGTGGGGCCTGTGCATCCCGCCACCGGCTGCAGGAGAGCAGAGCCGGGAGCGCCCCCCAGAGAGGGCTGTGGGCTGGGCAAGGCCAGAACAGACCTGGTGGCACCCAGTGGAAAGGGGGACACTGGCTGGGGTGGGCGGCGCAGGAGCAGGGTGCCCGGGGGCTGCAGACGGGGGGGCACAGGCCGGGAGCAGAGGGAAGCCCCCTCGGTTCTGCGGGCTGCCCCCGCCTCCAGGCCCAAGCCCGGCTCTCCTCCTCCCGCCTGCTACGGAGCCAGCCAAGACACGGCCCCTTGCCTCCCGTGCAGGGCAGGCGCGCGTGGCAGCGAGGGCCAGGGACGCGGTGTCCGCAGCGGTGACCATCCTCGAGCACTCACGTGAGTCTCTCTCTGCCATAGCGGAGCTGACCCCCAGCCACAGAGTGAGGAAGAGGAGCCCCGGCCTGCCCACGGACCAGGGTGCCCAGGAGCAGGAGCAGTAAGTGTGTCCGCGGGCCGGTCTTTCTCGGAACGGTGGCCCACGGTGTGGACGTGCTGCAGGGCCCGGCCCGGCTGCGCCAGCCCTCCCGGGACAGCCTCCGCTGCGTCTGCCCCCCGAGCGGCCTGGCCTCGTCCAGTGGTCACAGACGGGAGCCCCACATCCAGCAGGGCAGCAGCCAGCTCCCCTCCCAGTGACAGTGGCCGATGGCGTTTTGAGCCCAGACGTCCCGCCTGGTGCGTGGGTGGGGCTGGCGGGCTGAGCCTGCGCGCTGCGCCTTCCTCACCCCGTACTGCTGGCCTCTCCTTGGGGGTCTCATCTCTGTGCCCCCTCCGCTGTTCCAGAACAGCCTCTCACCTGCCTGTGCGCCCCGGGGGTGGAAACCCAGAGCAGCGTGTGGTGGCGGGAGGGAGCCTGGCTTTCCTCCTGGGGGAGGAAGCAGAGGAGGCCGGTGCTTGGAGGCTCACCCCCCGCCCCGCCCCCGCAGGCTCCCAGGGGCCGCTGCCTCCCGTGCAGCGCTGAGCCACGGACGTTTCCCCACCAGGTTGGAAAAGCTTCCCAGCCTCGTGTCTGTGGCGACGCCACGGTGAATGCGACGTCCGCTTAACCGGCCCTCGCTGGGGGCATCTAGGCGGCTTTCGGGGCTCAGAGTGTTTGTTTCCTGCTCTAAACAACACTGTGCTGAACATCCTCAGGACGAGGGCATCAGGGCATCTGTCCCCGTGTGGCAGCGCCCTGTGTGGGGATGTGGGGCTGGGCCTCACCTGTCTGCAGGGGACGGCGGGAATGTCCCAGGAGCTCAGGGTCTGCACGGGTCACAGGCGGCGGCTCCTTGGCGGGAGGCGGGGGCGGGGGGGGAGGTTCCCGAAGGCCCGACTGACCCAAGGCCCTGTTGCAGCATCCCCTTCTTCAAGTTCTGCTACCAGTGCGGCCGCTCCGTCGGGGTCCGCCTGGCGCCCTGCACCCGCTGCTACGGGATCCTCACCTGCAGCAAGTACTGCAAGACCAGAGCCTGGGCCGAGTTCCACAGGAAGGACTGCAGCGACATGGCGGCCATCGGTGGGTCCAGGGGTCGGGGAGGGCGGGCCGGGGGCTGCCCCGAGGACAAAGGCAAGGCTGTGGGGGCCGCTGAGAGTGGCCGTCAGCCCTCGAAGTCTCTGCAGATTCGGGACACTGTCCCCAAATTTCCGGATGGGCCTGTTGGAGGGGAGGGGCAGCCAGAGGCCCCTGAGCCAGCCTGGCCCTCCGTGTGCAGTGGTGACGCCACGCTGGACCATGCCCTGGAAGGCGGGCGTGGTCACCCCAGAGCTGGGACGTGGACACCCAGGGCTCTGGTGGACCCCTGGGTCTCCCTGCTGGACACCGGTGCCCCGGACCACAGTGCACTTGGCCTTGGGGCTGCTTCCAGAAGGTTCCTCCCAGCCTGCCCTCTCGTGTCTCTGGCAGTGTGGATGTCAACAGGTGTCTGCTTCTAGAAACACCCCCCTCCCATCCTCCGCGGCGTGACCAAGCTGAGGGTGCGGGACCATGACAGGACACCAGGGCCTGGCGCTGCCAGGGGTGCAGGCGTTGTCAGGCTGTGCGCAGCTGCCCAGCCGCGGCCACTGTCCTGGGACCCGGCTGGTGCCCGGCCGGGTGGGATGGGGAGAGGGGCTGGGCCGACCCCTGTGCTTGGGCCTGTGCCCCTAAAGCCATTCGCCGCTCACCTCTGTTCCCTCCTCTGTAAAATGGGCTTTTAATAACAGGCACCCACGGTGGGGTGTCCCCGAGGGCCTGGTCCCAGCTCCCCAGCATGGCACCTGGCGGGACTGGCGGGCCGCCCTTTGAAGGGTAATCAAGCTGACACTCAGACCTCGCTGCACCCGTGCACAGAGTAGGCACCAGACAAGCGCAGCCGGAGCGTGGTCCTGGGCCGCCTGAGGGTGGCTCGCGGCTGCTGCAGCCGGCAGAGGCTGAGCTCGGGCGCAGGCCTGGGGGAGCTGGCTCAGAAACCTTGGCCTCCCCCGGGCGGTCCGCCCACGCCCCTCACCGGCCTCCCCACGCCTGTTCCTTGTCCAGGGGTCCCCACGGAGGAGGTGTCCATGCAGGGAGGAGAGTCTCAGTGAAGGAGCAGCTGGATGCCCGAGGCCCGGGCGGGGGCCCGGGCTGCGCAGATTCTCCCTGCCCAGCATCCGCCACCTCTGGGTGCCGCCCTGCGGGTCCTTCTGGCCCAGTATGGGCGCCTCCGCGCCTTCGGGATGGTGCTTGGCAGCAGTATCTGCCCCCTGACCTCACAATAAATCAGCCCCGTGGGGTGCATTTTTATCACAGTGACAGTCTGTGCCCTGATCTGCCCCAGCTGGGCAAAGTCCGGAGCTCTGGGGACCTTCCCGTGTCTGCAAGGGCTGTGCCTCCTCTGCCCTCAGCCTGGGCGGCCCTGGGCAGGTGCGCCGGGCGCTGGGGCTCGTTTGTGACCTTCCCGGAGCCCATGGCGGCCGGCCCTGTCCCCGCCCGCTGGCTCCTGCTATTCTTTGTCCCCATGCGTGAGCGCGGTGCACGGAGCGTCTGCGTGTGCCGCGTGCTCCGGGGATGGCGGGTACCTGGACACCACCGGGATGGGAGGGCCAGGGCGAGTCTGCCGCGAGATTCCCAGAGAGGGCGCGAGGAAGGTGGACGGTGGCGCTGCGGCTTGCAGGGCGCATGGGGCTGGAGACGGCCGTGTCCTCGGAGGGAAGAGGTAGCCACGTCGGGGAGGAGGAGGAGGATGGGGCTTTGATGGTGACGTTAGGGTGACTGGGGCAGCACGTGGGCGGGGACGTGGCGAAAAGGCCGGAGCCACGCGGGAGAAGCCCCACCCGGCGGGTCTTTGCCAGTCGGCACAGCCGCGCCGGCAGCGACTGCTTTCCCTGATTTCCTCGGTCTCTTGCCGAAGGTGGGCTCCCCACGCGGGGTTTGTGGGGTGCCCCTGGCAAAGCAACCATAAGGGGGTGAGGAAGGCGCCAGGGCAGGGGGAGAACCTGACCCCCCGCGTGGCTTTCTGGGGGCTCCCAGCAGCAGCCGGGGCCAGGCCTCAGTACCCTGTGTCAGCCCGTCTCGGGCCGGTCTTGGGCCGCAGGCCCCTGGGAGGGCCGTGACTGGGTGAGCCGCCGCCCCCTCTCTGCTAGAAAGGAAAGAGCTGCTAAGGGACTGGTTATTTGATGTTGTACTTAATTCCATAAAAGGTACAGAATACATGTAAAGCAAAAAAAGAAAACATGAATGGCAATTATCCCGACAGCCAGAAATTACCGTTGCCAACACCGCGTGTCCTTCCTGTCCCGCCCGCGCAGCTCTGCAGGTAGGCGTGCGACCGTGCGCGCGCAAGCGTCTGAGAGGGAGCATCCGCCACGTGCTCTAAGCGCGGCCACCGGCATCTTCCGATGCTATGAAACACTCTTCTGCAACATAATTTTCCCCAAATCAAAATAGCTTTGTTATTTTTCATTCTGATTATGTACACAACATGTGCTTGTTAAAAAAGATGACAATGACAAGATTAACAGGGACGGTGCAAATTCAATCTCACTATTCAAGGAGCAGCAATCTGAGCATTCTGGGAGCGTATTCGTTTAGGCGTGAACCTGTGCGTGTCTGCGCACACACGCGCTTCCCCGCGCCCGCCGTGCCGTCCCAGTTAGGGCGGCGTGGTCCAGTGTGCAGCCCTGGCTCTTTCCGACGCCCGTGTGGCCCGTCGCCCCCCAAGGATCACCTGCGCATTCACCTGTGCGATGCCGTCAATGGTCTCATCACCGTCTCATTCTCGCCCTGTAAAGAACGCTGCGCACGTATCTTTGGCCTATTTTTCCCTTCGGTGAAACGTCTAGAAGCCACACTTTGAGGTTCATGTTCCAGAGTGTTCTTGGGGAAGGCTCCTGCGGTCTAGGACTCGGAGCGCGTCTGTCCTGCGCCCTCAGAAACGAGCCTCGCGGCCAGGGCCACCTGCGCTGCCTGTCGCGTTTCCATCTGAGCCTGAGCACCTGCTCCTCGTGTCCGCGCGACGCCTTCTTCTTCCTGCGCCCTCGTCTCAGACTGTCTGCGCCTCCCGACGTGTGAGAACCGTCTCTAACGTGTCTCTTCCGCCTCGGGAGGGAAGAATTTCCTCGCAGTGTGAATTCTGCCGCGAGGAAGTTTTTGTTGCGTTGCGTTTCTGTCCTCCCTGCCCCGCAGGGTCTGGTAGCCGAGTGTGGGGGGCGATGTCCTGGTGGGCAAAGACCACCAAAGACCAAAGATCACCTTTGCTCGGATTTTCACAGCTGCTTTAATACACTATCACTTCAGCTGTCATTTTATGACCAGCCTCTGGTTAATTTTCACCTAAGGTACGACAGCCCCTGGCCAGGCCTCTTCCCAGGGACCGGTGGTGACGCATGGCCCACTCCTCTTCCCTGCGAGGGTGCGGCGGTGGCTGTCGCCGTGCCTTGCTGCCCTGGCCCGCCGCACTGCCATGCATTTCCATGCCCACCGTGACAACCCACCCTTAGCCTCACTTCCCTGAGATGGGCCTGGCGGTTGTCAGATGTATTCTTTCAGATGAACTGCACAGTTTGTCAAGTTCAAAAATGTCTCGCTGGGACTGTGTAACTATTTTGCTGCATTTAACTGGGAGGCCGTTGGCACCGCAGAGCCTTGAGTTTCCTGGTTACTGGTCCGGCACTGCGGTCGCGTGGTCGGGCTGGCTCCCTCCGTCTGGAACCCCCCGGCCCCCTGAATACCCGTGTGCTCAAAGCTGCCATGTCGTCTCCTCCTCTGGGCCAACACCTACAGGGAGACATGTCCTCTGACCCACCAGAGGAGTGAGGCGAGAACCCACAGAGGACAGGATAACTGGTCCCTGTACTGTGGGAGCCCACGTTCTAGCAAGTTCCGTGGAGACAGGGATGGACGGTGGTATAGGTGTCAGGCTGGGTCATCAGGACACAGGGGCTGTGTCGCCCAGGGGTGCCACATGTGCCACATGCCAGAAGAGCCGTGGGAGTCCCCTGGGAAGGCGGGATGCTGGAGGCGGAGTGCTGTGGACTCCAGGATGGAAGGGACCCCCTTTCCCAAGAGCAGCCCTCGCTGCCGCTCCTCCCCGGTCCTGACATCTGACCTGACATCCGCCGTCGGTGGCCCCCACACGAGCAACCACAGATGCCACCAGCAGGAACTGTGTTTTGTTCGGGGCAGAACCTCCCGCTGCCACGGCAGTGCGGGGTGCAGAGGAGGAGCTCCATGCCCTTCGAGGGGGTGACTCGGGGTGACTCAGGTGGTCGGCCCTGCCCGGTTCGTGCCGCACCAGGACTGAGACTGTCATGTTTTCTGCCCATGGGGTGAGGAAGACCTCGCTGTGGCTGGTGGCAGCGCGGCCAAGGCTGTGTCCCTGTCCCCACCCCTGCTCCCGACGGGGTGCGAGTGGGCGGGTGTGACGGTAGTGCAGGTGCGACCCAGCCCTTCCTTTAGGTCTTTGAGGCTGTCCACCCCCCCTCGGGCCGGCTGGTGGCACGGCGGGGCGGCCGGCGACCGGGGCTGCTTTCGGAGGGAGAAGCATCCCTTCCCGCGGACCGTTGCGCTTGAACTTGGATTTAGTCATTCTGTTGGTTAACGCTTGTCATTTCAACCTGTAACTCTTGTCCAGGCTTCATTTTGCACCACCGACCTGCCGGTCCAATCAGTGCTGCACTCCCACGCATTTTCACGCGTGTGCTGAAGCCCCCACCCCGTCTGGCCCGCCGGATCCCCCATCGCTGATGACGCCAGCCCCCTGTGGCTCAGGCCACACGCCGGTGCCGTCCTCGCACGCGTGCTGACTGCGGTGTCTGGAGGGGGCAGGGAGGACCCACCTCCTGCAGCCCCTGCTCCCTTCCCAGTTCTGTGCCAGGCCCCTTGCTGGACACGCCACTGTGCAGCGGCCGGCACAGCCCCTGGTGGCGTCCTCGGTGCCGTCTTCCCCGCCCTGGTGGCCCTTCCTCTCACGGAGACTCCATCCAGAGCAGAGATGCCGCGAGCCTCCGAGAGTCGCGAGCAGTTGGGTTGGGACTTCAGAGACCGTCAGAAGCAGCTCG